CACACCGGGAAGTCCTCTGAGTTATCACAGCGATGCTGATGACAATCTTTCCGAGGTTGACTGCAATACCAATCAGCAATTGGCAGAAGATGAAAATAGTGCTGTCGTTCAGAATGGTAAAGAAAACAATGCCCAGAACAATATGTTAGCAGCAACGCAGGAAAAGTCATAAGCCGCCTAGTAAACGCAAAGCTGGACCACCTGATAGTGCAGGATTTTTGCAACCCGGATATTGGTCTAGGTAAGTCGATCTATGGAATTCTATAATAGTAATAAATATAGTTTTATATAAATAATAGTATAAATGTAGTTTTTTCACAAACTGTTATGTACGGGTAGCTAAATTGATATTTGTTTCGAGAATAAACTTGAGTAAACTCTTAAATTTACTCAACTTAATATAATTCCTAATTGAAATGAAAAGCAAAGAGATTGTTGTGATAAAAAAAAATTATTGGGAAAGATATAAAAATGATTTTTTAATGCTATCACAACTCATTTAATTTAAAATTTTGATATATATGTTTAACCTAAATAATAGTTTTTAATATATTCTTCTTAGTTTTTCTAATTTAAATAAATTTATAAAGACCTAAATAAAAATCAAAAGTTATATGAAGAAAATAAAAAAAATATTCCAAATCCAAATATTTTTAATACATTTTTAGTTTGCTCGCCAGTAGAATTCCTCTTTTAAAAATGTCAGAATTGTAGAATTTATGTTGAAAGTTTATGTGAATAATAATACAACCGTTTATGCAGAAGGATGAAAACAGACTGACTGATTATATATTCTTTTAACTAATCACATTCATTACAAACATTATTAACAACCGCTTGTTTTATATAAAACAAAAGACAAACATATATACATAAACATAGTAGACAGAGAGCGTTTAGTATCAAACTTCAACAAGAATTTGGTCATTAGTATAGTTATTTTTTTATACAAAAATGTTCCTCAGTAAGGTCCTTTTTGGCTTTCTGAATTAGCGTTTTTTTTCCCTAAAAATGGCAGAATTAGCTCGTAAGTAGAGTTCTTTTTTAATATCTGAATTTGCTCGTCAGTAGAGTCCCTTTTTGGCTTTCTGAATTTGCTCGTCAGTAGAGTTCCTTTTATCTAAAAATGACAAAATTTGCTCACGAGTAAAGTTTCCATTTTTCCTGAAAATGGCGGCATTTGCTCGTCAGTGGAGTCCTTTTTGGCTTCTAGTTCTATTTGATAATTTGATCATCAGTAGTTTGTTTTTTGGGTTTCTTTTGCTCGTCACTATAGTCTTTGGGTTTCTAGTCTGATATATAATTGGTCGTCAGTAGAGTTTTTTTTGCCATTTTAGTCCGATATATAATTTTCTCGTCGGTAGAATCTAGTTTGCAATTTAATTTGCTCATTAGTGGACTTTTCTTCTAGATCAAAATTAAGGTTTGCTTGTTAGTAGAGCCCATTTTTTCAACTTCTAGTTTATAATTTAATTTGCTCGTCGGTAGAGTTCCTTTTTTATCTTTAGTTTTTAATTTTGCTCGTCGGTAGAGTTCCTTTTAAAACCTTCTAGATCAAAATTACAGTTTGTTCGTCGGTAAAGTTCTTTTTCGGGCTTCTACTTTGCAATTTAATTTACTCGTCAGTAGAGTCCCTTTTTCGGGTTTCTAGTTTGCAAATTCATTTGCTCCTGAGTAGAGGCACTTTTTCATACTTCTAGTATGATATGTAAATCGCTCGTCAGTAGAGTCCTTTTTGTAGGCTACTAGTTCGATATATAATTTTCTCGTCAGTTTTTTTTTTTCGCTTTCAATCCGATATATAATTTTCTCGTCAGTAGAGTCCCTTTGTTGAGCTTCCAGTTTGATATTTAATTTTGTTGGTCAGTAGCTCTTTTTTGGTCTCCTGATGGATACATGATTTGCTCGTCCTTGTTGGGGCTTTTAGTTTGATATATAATTTTTATTTTTCCTAGTTTGCTCGTCAGTAGAGTCCCTTTTTTGGGCTTCCATTTATTTAATTTTGTTTGTCAGTAGAGTCCTTTTGTGGGCTTCTAGGCGGATATAGAATTTTTACTACGTTGAAGTGTCCTTTTATGGGATTTAAGCCCGATATATAAGTTGCTTGTCAGTAGAGTCCTTTTTGGGCTTTTAGCCTAACTTATAATTTTTATCTTTGGGGGCGTTCATTAATCACGTGAGGATTTTAGGGGTAAGGAGGCTTCGACAAAAAAATCACGAAAAATCGCATTGGTGGAGGAAAGGGTGTAGTAATATATCACGTGTGTTTTTATCAAAATTAAAAAAAAAATTTTTTTTGTAAATTCAAAAAATTTGTTTGGAAATTTTACGTAACTAAAAATACACAAGATGTTTGTTGGGGGTGGGGGTAATTTTAAATATCACGACGTGTATCACTAAGGGGGAGAGGGGATCTAAAAATTCCTAAAAAAATCGATCACGTGATTAATGGCCGCTCCCTTCCTAGTTTGCAATTTAATTTGCACGTCTCTTAAATTCTGGACATATTATATGTTAAGGGGGTCTTCCTATGTGACGGCCTGTTTTTTAGGGATATTTTAGGATTTTTTTTCTACGACCAGTAAATATTTAGAGCTTCAAGTTCAACATATATTTGGACAGTATAAATATAAAATTTCAGCTAAAAATATTCAGTCAAACTAGAATTACAGCGCTCTGAACACCTCCGCCTCGAAAAAAAGAGCTCCCACTTCCTCCACGATTCCGGCTAATCGGCTCATCGGAAAAAAAAATAAACGGCGTTTTAATTTGTAGGCTTAAAAGCACGGAATGACCTATAATCAAATGGATATAAAAAAAATTGGATTTTTGATAGACATTTGAAATAAAAGTTGCAAATTAGGCGTTTTTTTTGTTTTTTGCTATAAAAAAATCGAACTTTTGCCCTGTAAATTTCAAGTAATTCGGTTCAGCCGTTTCTGAGATACAATGGAGGAAAGTTTGAAAAACACAGTTTTGAGAAAAACGCGTTTAAGTCCATATTTGCCACATGATAAATAAAATGTTTGTTTTTTAACTATTCAGTTTGGTTTATTAACATTGAGTATCTCGGTCACCGAAGTGTATTTAGGCGCATTTATGACGCTAAAAGATTATTTGTGTAAAACGCATATATGCTGCGCTCGTCCTCAAAGGGTTATTTTACTCGCCATTATTATGATCTAGGTCGAAATTTAATTTTCTTATCAGTAGAGTCCTTTTTTCAGTTTTCTGACTAGTTTTTGTAAATTGCCCTAAGACAAACTAGTCGCTCACACCTTGTAAATCATCCCATTATCTTCTTTCCAGTGTAAAAATGTGCTGCGGCACATTCTTCAAGGGCGCCGGAAACGAGCTGGCGATAGACATGACAAACTACAAGCCGTGCAGGAATCACCATTCCTCGCAAAAGCGCCAAAAATCCGTCGAATCTACGACGACGACGACGACGACGACAGACGTCGTGGTCGCCTCATCAGTGCTGCCTTCAACTAAAGATAAGGTATTTAGTGATAATTCCTCAGACTCAGGTTATGACGAGTACAGTAACCAGGAGAAAAATAAGGAGAACTCCGAAGACACGACCAACAACCAGGGTAATAAACCGTCTGCACCAGCGGCGGCGGCGGCGGTGGCGATGGCGACACCCGGTGGGGCAAAAGTACTTAGCATCGACAAAGTCCTCATCAAGCCGAGTTTTGTGCTGAACGGCGCCACTGTGAAGGTCAGTCCTGGTAATCTCGTTAAGCAGAATAACATAGTTGTAATTAAACCTAAGAAGCAGGTCGTTGCATTAGGCAACACCTTCATCGTTAAGTCTCCGACGCCTATTACGACACAAGTACAACAGGCAGCCAATTAATATTATAGACACATTTTCCATTAAACATCCCATTTTATTTTTCTGTTTGTTTTTCCTAATGTATAAATATGTACATTTGCGATGCAATTTATTGCCACTAGTGATGTAAGTATTACAAATTGTACATGTGAAATAATATTCTATGACGTGAGAGGCTGGCGATGTAGTTAATTATAAAAATTAATAGGTTGTATACATAATTTTATATTAAAGAAAGTCATAAGTCTCGAAATTGCAATCGAAGTGCAATATTTATCAAAATTTAATTCATTTACAATGACAAATATTACAATTTCGACTGAATTTTTATTAGACTAATGTAGAATATAATTTATTTAAATTTTAAATTAGATTTTAAGGTTTTATGTTCATGAAGGATTAATTAATTAAATTAAGTTGGAAACTATTTGTGGATATCGTGATAAATTGTATGTAACAATATGATTGAATATTACGTGAACGATTTTATTAAATTACATCGTATCATTTATTAAGGGGTAACACCACTGTCTAAGAAAATCGAGGTATTTGTTGAACTTTTAAGTACAACAATAAATTATTGTAAAACAAATTAATATCGCGTCTAAAACGTGTTTTTTGTCTTTATTTCGGAGCGGAAAAAGTATTAATTGGAGAAAGGTATTTTTAAAGTAACAAAATATTTTTTATTTAAATTTTTGCGAAATTGTTGGCGTCAGGTTGTATTATTTGAAGTCCATTCGTCGATTTAAAAAAAGTACATTTCGACACCTCATGTGTGTCATCGTTCAGCCAATCAAACCAGGACACTGAAAACATTAGTAATAGTTTTTAAAACTCGGGAGTCTTCTTATTCAAGAGTTATTATACATTCAAGTAAAATTTTTTTATTTATGCGAAATTGTTGGCGTCAATTGGTATTATTTGAAATAATTTGCACCCTATTCGTCGATTTAAAAAAAGTACGTTTTGACACTTCATGTGTGTCATCATTCAGCCTATCGAACCAGGAAACTTAAAACACTAATAGTAGTTTTTAAAAACTCATGTGTCTTCAGTTTTGCTTAAATGTTTTAAAAACTCTTTTAAAAACTACTTTTGGTATTATTTTTTGTTCTGCTTAAGTAAGTAAAAATTGTCAAATTTTCAAAAAAAAGCATCTTAAATTTTTGTTTATAAAAATGTTGGTTTCAATTTGTATTGTTTCAAATAATTCACAGCCGTCGATTTAAAACAAGTCCTTTTCTCTACTTCCAGTACGTTTAGATACTTGATGTGTGCCATCATTCAGCCAATCAAACCAGCCAAAACAAAAAATTTAAACACTAATAATAGTTTGTAAAAACGTAACGTTGATTGGACTTTTTAAAAACTTCTATTAGTGCTAAATTTTTCTTTTATTTTGGTTGGCTGAATGATGGCACACATTGGGTGTCAAAACGTACAAAATAAAAAAAAATTCATTGTACATGCTTTTAGCTACAGAAAAGATTTTTAAAAATATTGTTTTTCGTGTTCTAGATGATTTTAGTAAAATCGTCAAATTTTCAAAAAAACGTCTTAGTTTTTTTTAGAAACTTTGTCAAATTGTTGGCGTCAATTTGTATTGTTTGAAATAATTTGCAAACTCATTTAAAAAAAAAGTTAAAACAAAAACATTCTCTTTAATCTTACTTTTTTTAATTTTTGCGAAATTGTTGGCGTCAATTTGTATTATTTGAAATAATTTGCAATAATTAAGTGTAACAGTTTGTCACTTATGGCAACACTAGTGAATTCGAACTGATATTAATATTCGGACGCTTGTGCTATTTTGAGGTTAGGTTTTGAAAGTTATGGTGCCAAATGCTCGTTTGAACAGCTTTTTGGCAGTTTGTGACTACCATATCATAATTATTTTCAACAAAAGATACCCGTACATAGCATAACTGTTTTATCCCGAATCAAAATAATAAACATTCTCTACGCGTGTTCCTGTTCAAATACTTATTTTAAACATATTGTAACAAATTTATAAAACTATATCTTTGCTATATTCGATCGAATTCTAAATCATAACCTCCAAATGGCACAAACTTTGAATGACGGTGTTACCATAAGTGTAACTTTTTGGTTTCACTTATGGTAACACTTGAGTGAAGTCGAACTAATATTAATATTCTGAAGTTTGTGCAATTTTGAGGTTTGATTTGAAAATTGGCCACTTTTAATCAACTATCGAAAATGTTCTACGTACTTCTGTTCAAAAACATTATTTTAAAAATATTGTAACATTCGAATGAAAAAAATAAAAATTATTGGAAATATACTGCCTGCAATTTTGAAAAATCGTATTTTGAGAAAAACGCATTTAAAGTTTTGAAATAGACATTTTTTTTTTTTTAATAAAAAGTTTAATTTTTTATTACTACTAGTATCCTGGTATCTAACCTCCAAATGTCTCAAATGTCTAATAACAATGTTACTATAAGTGCAACTTTTTTTTCTCTTATGGTAACAATTCTCTTTTCTCAAATTTTCTATTAAAGCCTTTTTCTTGAATTCAAGACAAATACATTTTTGATTTAAGAACAATTGTTAGTGTATTTTAATACTAAAAAGCTCGTAAATCCAACAAAAAAAATCTGTTGGGTATGAAATATTTCCCACGTGCTCTAAAAGGTTCAAAATATTTTTCTGTGCAAAAAAATTATTTTTAGGTCTCAAAAACCCTTAAAAAAATTGTTTTTACAACACTGGTGTTACTCCTGTTTACAACAAATCAGCAAAACGAGATTCAATTCCTAAGGCGACACGTTTTTTGTTTTAAATTGTAATTATTTACAATTTTATGAACGTGACAATTTACAAATAAACTATCAGTCTATTCTATTCATCATATATATTATTATTTTACATCAATTCAAATATCGAATCGTTGTTGGATCTCATGTTTATTATTTCAATTTTAAAGGACAAAATGTGTGTACAATATTTTGTTTTACCTACAAAACTCTTAGTTTCTAAGTCTTAAGCGTGAAATTCTTTTAATTTGTATATTTATGTGTTTTATATATATTATATTTATTGATATTTATAATAATACTTATTAGTCGTGACGATGATGAATGATGATGATGATGATGATGTCCCTTGATTTATTATTATTATTATTATTATTATATATTGTGTATATACTGCGTACCAGTAGAAAAGTCAAGTTATTAATTTTCTATTGTAAAAAAAGGATTCTAGTAAAGTTAATGGGTTTCTTTTTTAGTCAAGAGAACTTTGCTAGTCTTTTTGATTGCAGGAGGAAAATAAATGATACTCAATTGAGAGAATAAAAGCACTGTAGTAGTAAATGATTTTGGAAATCGTTTTGAGGATGTTTTGTTTCGGGGGATTTTTTGTTGAAATTAACTTGTGTAAATTTTTTACCATCGTAAAAGCTTTGTTTACTATTAACCCTTTCGGCGGCATCCGAGTGGAAAGGGTTAATATTGAAATATTCCTTGTTGCTATATATAGTAGTGTTTAAGAAAGTTTTGAAATGGTTTAGGGCAAGGCACAAAGGTCCAATTTGACTTAATTTGTTCTGCTCGTATCTCGAAACAATTTTTTCGATGTTCTAATTGTTGCAACTTTTTTTTGAAGGTGATCCTAATTTTTCTAGAAAACTTTCCTACTGGCTCTAAGCTCGTATCTCGAATTTTGCTCGTATGTAGAGGCAACGAATCACTTTTTTGACGACTCGTATCACAAAAGCTCGTATGTCAGAGTACGTGCAATCATATTTCACTTACATCACAACAAATAAAACAGAATCTATCAATTTTTTTTCTGTCAATTTTTTTACATCATAAAAGGTTCAATATTTGATATATTTTCCAAAATTATAATTTAAATAAAGTAATTATTATTATTACACTTTTATTTTATTTCATTTTGTATTACGAACAAAAAATTTTAATCAAACTTTTTTTTGAGTAATTGTTTGTTTTCAACGTTTCGAAACTGCATACGTTTCATCTTCAAATTTTCTGAATAAAATTGTCGATAAAACTGAATCCGGTTTGAATATTAGTTCAAAAAAATTTGGTATTTTCACTACATTTCTAGATATTTAACAAAAAATAATAATTGACGTTTCGACACTCGATACGTTCCATCTTCAGGTTTTCCAAATATTTTTGCCTGAATCGTTGAGAAATTAGTAAAAAGATACGTTTGTTTTGTATTTGTCTTATTTTGTGTTTCGAACAGAAAATTTAATAAATACATGACTGCGTTTTTTTAAGTAAATATTTATTTACTACATTTCGAAACTAGATACGGTCTATCTTCAGATTTTTTATAATTATTTTTGTTTGAATCTCTGACAAATTAGGGAAAATAAATGTTTATACTGTATTTTGTTATGTTATGTTAGGAACAAAAAAATCGAATTAAAAACTGTTTTTTCTAAAGCAAATGGTAATGTTCGACGTTTCGAAACTAGATATGATCCATCTTCAGATTTATTTTTGTTTGAATCTCTGACAGATTAGGAAAAAGATACATTTGTTTTGATGTTTTTTATTCTGAGTTTGGAACAGAAAATTCAAATTAAGCACTTTTAAAATAATGGTAATTACCGACGTTTCGGAACTGGGTTAGGTCCATTTCCTAATTTCAAAAAAAATCTTGAATCTCTGGCAAACTTAAAATAGAAACGTTCGTTTTATTTTAGTTTGATTCTGCAACAGAAAATTCAAATTGAAAACTGCTTTGTTAAGTAAATGGTAATTTATGACGTTTCGAAACTAGATTAGGTCCATCGTCAGGTTTTCTAAAAATACAAACTTGATTCCGGAATCAATATTAGTAAAAAGAACACATTTTATAAAACAAATACATAACCTAAAATCGGAGTAGAAATCCTTGTAGAAATATGAAAGACCTACCTAGAATAAATCGTGCATCCTGAAGAACTCTCTAAAAAATTGCATGCAATGCAACTTTTGGTGCATTTTTTTTACAAAATCTCTCATAACTTTTCAACCGGTGGTCCAATTTAAATGAAACATTCGACAAATTTGTACAGAATTAAATAATTTATAATATTGTCTATTATATCAAAGCCATACAGCAACTCGGTATACTTTAAAAAGGATCCTCTGAGCCGTGCCTTAGCCTACATCAAAATTTTACCAGTAGTAATATACAAATTTAAAAAAATCAAATTAATATGTTAGTAAATGAATTTTTAATCGTTTCATAAAAATCCTCC